CAATGACAGGGGGACATAACAGTAGTAGAGGCTAGCTAGCCAAGCCAGCAGACACTTGTAAACACTCCTGCCAATGCTGATTAGTCCACTGCATGGCATGCTGACATCTTGGCAATCAAGTTGTCGCAATGCAATGAGGTGATATGATCACACATTTATTTGTATTTATCCTTTATTCACAAAGTTGATCCTATTGAGATTCAAATCTATTTTACGAGGGAAATCTGTCCTAAGACGGCAGGAATCAAACGTTAGGTGAATCCCTCGATTCAATTTGAGTGTTTCCTAGTAATCCTAGCTATGGTTTTATGTATTTTCCCCCTATAATTCTCAGTTGGTGCTCAGTTGGTGACTGTTACAGGCTTGGTGTCACCAATTGGTGTCACCTCGTTAGTCAGTATGTGTTACACCTGTACTAGCTTTGTCCATCTCGTTAGTCGGAAGGTGTTTCACCTGTGCTGGCCCAGTTGTCTTGAGAGATGTGGAGGGTTAACACCTTTAGTTGGCTCTCCCTATTTAAATTCTAGAAAATATTTATTTATCTGATCTTTCCTGTTATTGTTTGCTTCCTGTTTTTAAGTTTGATGTGGGGGTTTTCTTTTGTTTGCATCTTAGTGGGCAAATTTAGTGGGTGTCTTTTAGGTCCCAGTTCTTGTTGCTAGTCAACTTTCAGTGGACACCCCCATGAGTGTCTTTCAGAACCCCTCCTAAAACCCCACGTGTTTCATTTTTGGTTGTGGTCAGTGACTCTTTTTTAGTTCCTCCTTCTGTTTGAGAGACAATTTTTGGTTTTCTTGCTGGGGAACGTAACAGGGACACCCAAACAGAGGCTATTGATAATCTACATGACCTCTTGTTTGAGGGAGGGAGAGGTCAAGGAGAGGTGGGCCTCATTAGTCATGTACTGTGTCTGTCATTGTCTCACGATTCAAGTCAACCTCCTGCTCTGTCTTCACCACAGACAAGGTTTGGTTTTCTCCTAGCAGAACTCGGCTAGGCGAAGTGAACGTCTGTGCCTCGCATACTCCCTTCACTTGAAAGAAAGTGCCAATATTACTGTTTGTCCCTCGAGACGCCGCAGCAACATATCCAGTATACACTTCCACAAAAGAACCCAAATTAATCTGAGATAAATCAAGAAATCTGTCATTCACTTTGACGTTTTTGCCAAGGAGGTCTTAGTCGTGCAATTTTACTTCTAACTAAGATGTTTGGTGCAGTATTTCGTGACCTTGGGACTATAAGGTTCTATCCGACATTTTGGTCAAAATGAGTTCTTCACGTAGAGTTGATCTTTAGGTGGTCCTTTTTTTGCCGAGATATGTTGTCCAATTTTTGAAAAAGTGAATTTACGCTGAAAAGTTTTAACATCTGAAAGTTCTATCTGCGCAAACACCTTTAACTTGGTGCTCTAAGGTTCTATCTGCAATCCAATCACACAATGCTTGGTTGTCAATCAAAAATAATTGTATTTAAGATTATATACTTATTGAGTCATGAAAAAGGAAGACATCACGAAACAGTTCTGAGATCTGGGACTTGAAAAATACTAATTATCTCAAAACTATACATTTTGCAGATAGAACCTTATTGTCCCAAATCCTTTATCATAGGTTTGGGTCCTCTTTTTCAATTACTTTTATTTTTTTACCACTTTTTCAGAAGAACGTAAGCTCTTTATGGTAAAATAAACATGAACATGGTGCCTTGTTTAAAGGGAAATTTCTACATTTTTCAAATTCATATTATTCATTTCCAGCACCACCCCAACATCAACATATGTGAAAATGACACGTTTCTATGTTTTGTACAAAAAAATATGGAGGAAGATAAGTGTTTCCAATGACATCATCAACCAATTAGTAGGCAATGCCTACTCATAATTGGTTAAAGTCATGTGACGCACACCAATTATGTCATTGGAAACACTTTTCTTCCTCTATCTTTTTTAGTAAAAAACATAGAAATGTGTCATTTTCACATATGTTGATGTGGTGCTGGAAATGATGAATATGAAGTTGACAAATTGTGAAATTGTCCTTTAATACCCTTAGGACAGGCATTGCTGTTTTTGTCTTGTTCTATAGCAATACGAAACCCTCCATGGAAGGGGTATTTTACAAAAATTACAAACTTACCACATTTTATTGATTAATAGCAAGTAGTATACTCAAAAATCTATCAGTTTACTCATCTAGAGTGAAGCTTTATCAATGTTGCTAGGAACTATCGCTTTAACAAATGTGTGAACATGAATTCATATATTTGAGGATGTGATTAGAAAGAAGGAACATTACACTACTGTTGTGAAGAAAAGTAAAACAGCATTTTTCTTTCTTTTTTCTAGCTACAGCACCCCTACTTCCTGCAGCTATGCATTATACTTGCTTGTTTTGTCACATAAAATAAGGCAAACGGTTAGAATTTTTGCAACCAGGAAATGGCGGAGCGATTTCTGCATAGTGCACCTTTAACCATTGGGGTCTAAAATGGTAAACTAACCTTGGATCAGTGTCTCTATCACATGGGCTATTCCAGGAAACATCATCAGCTCCAGACGTTAAGTGGAGATATTGATTCATTACATAGAATGGGCCCTGGGCTGTGGGCTGGTGAGGTGAGGGCTAAATAAGCCTGTCCTAGAGCCTTGACTCTGTAGGCGATTAAAGTCCAAACCTGGCTGTGTGTGTGTGTGTGTGTGTGTGTGTGTGTGTGTGTGTGTGTGTGTGTGTGTGTGTGTGGCTCCGGGTGATTAATTTGTGTCCACAGGCCAATAGCATAAGAGGATAGGAGGAGGATACAGCCTGGCTTTCTTCTGCTCAGCTCATAAACTCCTCAGGGCCAGCAGAGGTTAGGGTACCGTACTCCAGCCCTGCCTAGCTACATATCAGCCATAGCTACCACATTACAATGCCTGGCTGCATCATTATCTACATTGAACTGTGCTGATTTTTCATCTTCTTATTCATTGGTATAGTATTACATTCAATGTACTGGTATGATACTTTGTACAATGGGGGATGTACTTCAATTTTACCAAATGTTTTGTGGGGGAGAAGTTATGCATTGGATCTGCTGTGAACAGAATGGAGAAAAGTGTGTGAAATATGTTAGCGCGAAAAGGAAAAAAGTCCAGAAAAGAAAAGAAAGGAGAAGAGACGTTTTAAAAGTATATCTTAATATAAACATTTTATTCAGTGCATTTTGTGCAGACACCAAATAATAAATAACTTGGAAGGTAGCAGGCTGAACTGGTTGTTTTTCAGTTTTATCCTGGTAGTTTGGAACACATGATCCAACATGGGGTTAATACATATAGCTTACATCATGCACTATAGCTCTGTAGTCCAGAATTCACCTGCTGTCTCCCATGCAACAGAGGTTCACCTAAAAAAACTAAGGAAACAAAAGGAAAAAAACAAGCTTCCCAGTAGCATGTTCCATATGAACAAGGTATGTAGCCGAAGGGAAACTTAGAGTACTTAGCCCACAAAAAGGGTTGTCTTTGTACACAACCGTGTTTTTGTGCAAGAAAGGGATGAGTTTGATGTTTTTTTAGTTAGTTTTTTTACTTTTACAAATATGACATATCCTATAAAATGTTTAAGCCACCTAAAATTCCACAGTATTGTTTTCTTATTTTTAGAAAATTGTCACCACGATAAGTTACTCAAACACGAAACAAGTCCTGGGTTGGGGCCATCACCATATCCTTATATGGTGAACTGAATCAGCCAATAAGAGCCAACAAAAGGGGAGGGGGCAAGGCATGTCACAAGCACTGGATTGGAGAACAGACCATGGGGACTGAAGACGGAATACAATGTGACACAACAGAAACAGAAGGACATTGAACAGTCGATTCATACCTTAACTCAACCCTAGAGTTCACCAGTAATATGTAGTCTCTTTCCCTTCAGCAAAAACACTTTCTAGAACATTGACAAGCCTTCCTATTCCCATGGGCTAAAACATCCCCTGTTTTTTCCTCACCTTTTTCCATTTTCATTCCATTTTCCTGTCTTCCTCATTCTCTTTGTTCACATTTCTTTCTTTCTCTTATCAAAAATGTACAATTCGAAAAATAACTCAACACCTCCAGCTGCGCCTGTATACTGACTTGGCTTGACAGCTTAAATTGACACTCTTTCAGCTCTGTCTTTGGTGTGCTGGAACCCCTTTCACTGTGGAGATGGCTACAAAAACACAAATACTGAGGAGGGGGAGAGAACAAGAGGGAGAAAAAAAGAAAAAGCTCTCCGCTAATTTCGAAAATTAGTAAAGCAAAGATGCAGCTATGGCGTTGTCGCTCAAACAAAGTGCCACCCGCTTTTCCCTTCATTTTTTTGGATGCTAGGGAGTTCAAGTCTCTTCTGAGCGTGTGCAGGAGAGCTACTGTTATATCTGGCTGTGGTGGCAGCTTCGCTAGGGCTGCACCCCCTCATGGGGAATGGCTTCGTATTCACAGAAGCATCATGGATGACACACAGAAACAGGGCACTTCTCTACCAGCTGCAGCCCAGCCCTTCACCGGTTGCCCTGACCGCCTGCCTGCCTCTCTACCTGCCTGCCTGCCGGGTAGGATATGACCGGGTAGGATATGACTGGGTAGGTGTCTATATGATCAGGACCTATAAGTAAAATAAGTCGTTATCTGCACGAAGTAAAAAACCTTAAAAGATGAGCTAACTGGTTAGTGGCCAGAGTGGCCAACAGAAAATTGTGTTCTCAAATGACGTTTCAAAATTGCCTAGCGTTTTGCAAACAAAGTTCATGGTGTAATTTGGTTGGCTGTTGACGGTGTGATGAAAGATAAATAAATAATGTTTGAATGGAACCTAATGAGTGTGGTGATTGGTTGGTGGTGGTGTTTAGTAGTCGTAATGTTGTCCTGAACCGCCGATGGTTTTGGAGAGAGAAGTCTGCTTGGAAGTCACACTCTTCTGGAGGTAAGGTGTCTGCTTCTAACGTCCGCCCCGGCCCGCCGTGCCACCACCCGGCTACGTGGATTCGTTCTGGCTCACCGTCTTGCCTCCGTTGAGCACGGCCGAGGCGCTCCGGGACTTGGTGGGCGTGCCGCTGCCAGAGCGCGAGAACTCTGTCAGGTCGTGGAGGGAGGGTTCCCTGTACATGGCCACTGTGGGACAGACAGACAGACGGGAGAATGGTCAGACACATTACTGCTAGTGTAGATGGAGCGGAGCTGAGCACTAGAATAGAATACAAAAGAATACACTAGAATATAATTGTATTGTCCATCTGGAGATGCACGTTTTCCTCTTTCGTTGGACCAAGTTCTATTCTATTCTATTTTCTTATATTGCTCAACTCCCTCTGATCCTGTCACTGTAGCTCATAACAGAATGTACACCCCTGCCATATGCAAAAAAAATTCAGGACAAGGTATTTTTGGAGGGCAGAAAGTACTTATAGACACTGCCTTACATGAGTTATTCAGGAGCTTGTTAAAGTGAAAGCAGCGACGTCTGCATCTCTGAAACTTTTCAGAAGAAACACCAGTCACGTTAGAGGTTCTGATCTCTTTAGTCTTTAGAAGCCACTCCTAAAACGGCCAGGGTGTTTTGATGTGTGGTCCTCCTGGGACTTGGACCCAAGCGGACCCAAGCGGCAAACCTAACTCTCCAAAGACATTGCCTTGCTTTTCTGGTGATAACAGCAGGCTACACACAAAGCATCACTGTGCAAACAAGTCAATCAATAGTGGACTTCAGTGGGAAGCTGTGTGGGATCGATACTGGGCTTATTATCCACGGCATTAAGCAACTATAATTCTGGAAGGATGACCTGGAGGTCAGGGTCCATCTCCATATACGCTTATCCTCTCCTCCAATCAACCCTCCATCTCTCTCTCTCTACTGGATCTCTCCCTGTTTGACCTAGCACCTTAACACACACGGATGGATAAAATTAAAGGACGTGGGCTGAGACTCGTGGACTGGAACCAGAGCGAAGAGGAGAGGGGGAGCGAGGAGCGGCTGGTGGAGACGGTTGCAATGCAGAGACGGCTCCTTAATTGGTCGGCTGGTATTGCTGCTGCCTCTGGATCTTTATGGGCGGCTGAAACAAATGCTTTTTTCTCTCTCTCTCCCCCTCTTCTCTCTCTCTGCATCCCCTATCTAAGCACTAGATCTGGCGTTTGGGTTCTGAGAGAAATTAATAAAAGGATTGTGCCTTTTTGGCATGATTTGTAGAAATGTTTAACATTTTCTGGAGATGAAAGTGAGCACCCCTATTTCCTTTATTATGATAACATTATTTTGCCATTTGTGGTTTCTCGACATGAGCAGAGACGTGGATTTTGAATGAGCTACTGGTCGATTGGTCGGTGGATGAGAGCAGACCAGCCAACCTGGGAGTGAAAGCGTCATCATCATCACAGCTGCCTGTTTGCTGTGCCTTTCTGCTCTTGTGAAAAAGGGGTTGAAAGGGACCCAGTGCATCCCTCTCCAATGCCCTCCTACCCTCATTAAGGGACTACAACTTCTTGTAATCTTTTAACCATTATTTTCAGAACATACATAAATGGGATAGCAATGTATTTGTGCCACTCTCTCTTTAGTCTGTAAATTGTAACCACAAAAGAAGCTTGGAACTGACAGATCCAAATGACAGAACGACTGAACGTCTGATCAGATTTTTTAAAATACATTGCTAGCCGCTTGGTGCTCATCTCTCGTTGGTTGAGTAATTTGCGTCGCTTTCTTTGAGGAGGTATTTTCATCTGAAAGCTCATCCTTTCATCTTGTGGAAGTGGAGTACAGACGCTTTCTCGCTCTTTTTTCTCGTTCAGGTAAGCCTGTGTCTTGATCTAGATGAAAGCGCTGTGGCCTTTTTAACATGAACAGATCCATCTATCCAACACCCAATCATACCCCCTCTTTCCCTCTCCTCCCATGAGGCACCTGGCCTGGTTGGGTGGAGGTAGCTCGCTCCTTTTTGTCATGAAATTGGCGTTAAAAAGCTTAGCTGTCACTATTCAAAACAGGCAGAACGTTATAATTCTCGCAGCTTTTCACCAAGGACACTGCCTCTGCCTTTTCCACTGTCTGGCTCCAGTGAAGTATGAATCGCTTTTGGGAAGTGCTCAATAGCCCTGTCCACACACCATCGTCTCCGAGCAGAAAACCCATCAGCAGGGGAGCTGAGAGCAGCCTTTCTCCAGGCCATAGGGAGAGACTACTCACATTGAGGGAAGGAAAGAGAGGGAGAACAGGTAAAGGGAACAGGGACATTTAATCAAAGAGAAGCCTTGTGTTTTTTGGGGGGAAAGTCTCCTGTTTATACAAATTACCGCTGCCAAAGCTCAGTGCTCCAGGCCATAGTGAATCACCAATAAACTTTCAATTGCAATGTAATGGCCTTGGGAGAATAATCATGAAACTTAAAAAAGTTTCCTAAGAAAAATGTCCCTTATTTTTCTCCATTGTCTCCAATATAGAGCCGAGCACCGTATAGGAAGAAAGATGGACAGACTCACCTTTCAAAGGCTTGGGGAGGAAGTGGCCTGCTGGCTTGTTTTTCTTCACATGGTTTCCCTTCATTATCTCCCCCTCTTTATTCAGACCGAGGTACCAGCCCCTACCAGACTGCTGCTGTCTGTAGATCATGGAGGAGTAGGTCACGTAGTAGTTCTCAAACACTGACTCTTTGAACTTACACTCCGGGGTGAAGTGTTCCTGAGGAGAGAGCGAGAAAGAGAGAGGAGAAGACAGGATGAGCCTTGGCTGAAGGAGGAGGGCGGACACTGATGAGGGAGGTTTTAAGAGTCCTTCTCATCTCTTGCTTTTTAGCAAATGAGAGGCACTGAGATATGAAGTATAATTTCTTAAGAACAGGAGGGGAAGCCACGACTCAAACACAAACACTTGCTCAGCGTACACACACTTACACACACTCAAGGGTTGAACGATCCTTATAAAGCATCTGATTCAAGACATACACCTCTCAATGCTTACCAAATTACCACAGTATTTTCAAAAGCTATTATAATCATCATTGTAAATAATTAATAGCTTTAAGCCATAGATACAAAGTACCATTTATTAAACGTAAGATTAAATATTAATTATAATTTTACTATGCAGTTTTAATAATATATGGGCCAATTAATAATTACATTTGTTGGAGGATGTTCCCTCTGCAGAGACTTTGTAATAGAAGATATGATTACCATTTATTAGTCAATCTTTCACCAGACTATTGCCCTCTCCTAGCAGTGGGCATCAACAGGTTCAGATGGTCTGTGTGTGTGTGTGTGTTTTACAGAGGTTATGTAATGTCCAGGCGGAGGCACCCCTGTCTCTCATCCACTAATGAATTGGCTGTTCTAAGGTGCACAGAACAAAATCTACATGGGGCTCCTGGGACCCTTTTGTCCTGTAGTCTCTCTCTCTCTCTCCTCTAGTCTACACTATGCCATGTCATGCTCTCTTTTTCTCTCGCCTCTCCATATTTTGTTGTCTCTGATTTAGTCATTACCTCCACCACCTATGTCATAAAACACGAAGCTGTTGTTCTTTCATGCAATTCTCCCCAGGACACTCTGATGTGGCATTGTCTGCAGGTGTGTGTGTGTGTGTTTGCATTTGTGCGTGCCAGCGTGTGTGTGTATACATGCATGCGTGTGTGTGTGTGTATATATGCATGTGTGTATGTGTATATATGTGTGTGTGTATGTGTGTGTGTGTGTGTGTGTGTGTATATATGCATGTGTGTATGTGTATATATGTGTGTGTGTATGTGTGTGTGTGTGTGTGTGTGTGTGTGTGTGTGTATATATGCATGTGTGTATGTGTATATATGTGTGTGTGTATGTGTGTGTGTGTGTGTGTGTGTGTGTGTGTGTGTGTGTGTGTGTGTGTGTGTGTGTGTATATATGCATGTGTGTGTGTGTCCTCACAAACACGTGTGCCTGTGTGTATTGCACCCCATTTTGCGATGTCGTCTCTATTGTAGTTTTCTATAATATAGGGAGATGGAGTTATCTGTTGAGACGACAGCTGCTATACTACTGTACTAAAGCACTGTTCTTCCTGCTCTCTCTGTTGTCTCCTAATTAGCTTCCAACTGCTTTCTGCCTGGGAACCATCTATGCATTCAGTCTACAGAGGAAGAAACCCCAATAAGCTAAACCAGGGGTATTCAAATCTGAGCCTTGGTTGGAGGTTATGCTGGTTTCTCACTCTTCTTGTTTAATCAGGAACTAATTTAGACCTGGGACAACTGTCACAGGTGTGATAATGAGCCAACATTGCTTATCATGCGCGCTTCTGCCTAATTGAATGATTGATCCTGTAATTTAATTGGCTGACTGTTTCTTTAAATATGATCTCTTTGTTGTTTGAGGGGGAAGGTGCAGGTAAGAGGGAAGTTTCCATGAGGCTGGTTGTTAGTGGTTGACTGACTGACTAAGTTGAGAGAATACATTTGATTTGAAGTTGAATGAATGTTTAGGTAGTGCTTCCCTTGACCCTGCACCAGAACCTGTTATGTGTGTATATTTAATGTTGGTCTCTCCTGTGTGATCCTTCTCCCTTGACTAGGCTTAACACAGAAGTCTGAGGTTTTGATTAATGCTGGAGAAGGAGAAAATAAAACTTGTAACCTGTTGACTTCTTTATTTTGCCACTTTAAGAACCTGTATGTTGAGCAGAGCTCCCATGATCTTGTTTAATTCAACCTGGGGTGGCATAGGATCAGCTACCCTTAGGGCTCTATTCAATCCGCATCATGGAAGTTCAGCTTTACAGCGTGATGATTGAAATTTAAAGGCAATGTTCCTGCTTTAGCGGAGACTGCATTCATGGTAAACCCTGCATGTTATCTCAATGGGAAATAACCTTTGCTATTCTATCGCGGAATCTAATCTTCACAGATTGAATAGAGCCCCTAATTTCTCTACCGCCTCGCACAACAGGCATGTGGACTCTGGTCAATCAATGACATTGATCAATCAAGTAATCACCAGGGAGAAAGGAAAACCTGAAAAAAAGATGTTACTACCCTGGGTTAAACTATAATGGCAGTCATATGGCAACTTGGCAAGCGCTTTAGAAAGGAGAAAATTGGCATGTTTTTAAAATTGGGACAAGCTCGTATTGCTCAGAGTTGTATCACAGTGGATGTCAGTCACAAGATGGATGACGGGTCCTGGCAGGACCACAGATCTGTTGTGTGATCATGACAAACTATGCGTCACTGTCAGTCACCCAGTCATCAATAATGCCATCAGGCTTTCCCAACACAATATTACTCTCCGGAGAGTTCCCATTCAACATAATTCATCCTCAAAAAGAGACGAGGGAGTGCAACACATAGATTGAATGCACATTTGCGTGTTTGTGTAGTCATACATTCACTCCCACTCTGGGCTAGAGTCTCTACACATGTCCACTCCACTTACTGTTTAAGAAGCCCTAGTGATCAAAATCAGTTGTTTTTGAAGAAGCAATTCATTAAATGAATCATCCAGGAGAGTATTGATTCATAAGAAGGTCAGTGTATAAGGCTCTACTCTGAACCAATGGCCCCAATGCAGTGCGAGTGGCCCCTACAGTCCCTAATCTCCCATCCAGAATCAAACCACCCAGACATAGTGAGTCCGTCCCAGGCACAAAGGATCAGCCCTGCTATCTGGAGGGGGTGGGGTTGGGTTCACATATAGTCCTGTTTAAAATAACCGATCTCAGTCCTCTTTAAAGTGAACCGTGGTAACAAAAAAAAAAAAAAGGAGAAGCAAAATAACTAAGTTCACTTTGTCTTCACCTTGCCTTTGAATGAGGACTCAACTCTTTTGCCAGTTCACTTCACCTATTTTGTGGTCTGAGTCCTCTTTGCATTCACATTGCTATGTTTAGAAAAGAACCAAGATCTTTTTCCAACATTCAGCATTGAGCTAGCATTGATTTCCTGGTTAGTGCTATCCGAAATCCTTGGGACATCCCTACCCTAAATCCTAACCATAACCTTAACCTCTACCCTTACCCTAACCTAAACTTAACCCTTACCTTAACCATTTTAAATGTCAACTTCAATGGGGTAATGTCAGAGTTGGGACATCACAAGGATCCCAGATAGCAAGGACCTTGATTTTGTACCCTATGTTGTGACTCTCACCAAATATGTTGTCTACTCACACTATTCAAAATCCACAATCAAATAAACAGCTTATGAAGCTCTCTTAGCCTATACATCAACATATTACAAACAAATAATCTGAACATCGTGTCAGTACAAAACTCCACACATATTTTGGAATTTCTGTGCATCATCATCTTCTCTGTCCAATGTGAAGGGGTTATGGCAGGGGAAACGGTGTTGCAGTAGTCTACTGTGTGGTGCAGGATTAATGACAAGTGAACCTGGGGAGCTTTGTGTTCACATTGCCCTAAAAAAGGGAACCGGACCAGGGAATTCAAGCGAACCGAACTCAGACCACCTCTTAAGATGGTCTCAGTTCGGTTCGCTTCGGGGGATCTTTTGAGGGGTCTAAGTTCCTTTGGAGTGTTCACACTCCACAAAAAATTAAGGGAACCGCATTGAGTTCACAAAAATTGTCTGAAAGGGACCAAGTGTGAAAACACCCTCAGTGTAGACAGGCATTCTCATCTAATCTCTCATCCTCCCTGGTCCCTGACGCTCCCAGAGACAGCCCGGGCCCAGACCGTGGTGACAGGACACTGCTGTTGTCAGACGGTGCCAGTGACATGGCACCTCCACAGGGACTTCCTGTCAGCTCAAACCGGCACACTGCTAAGCCACCATGACACCGGAGGGGAACACTAGAAGGGCTAAGGGCCCTATTCAGACTTAGGAAATGTACGCCTTTCCTACGTACTGCTCAGTAGTTGGTATTCAGACTCAGTGGCGTGTATTCATGGATGCCAAGGGAAGCCAGGCTTCCCAAAACATTTACAAAAAATAAAATACAATAATACATATAACATAACTTATCTTTCATCTCTGTTAAATTATTTTCCTTCAATTCGCAAGAGGCTGAATGTATCTCACCGGAGAAAGCATCTGAGCGAGCAAAACAATGCCCCTCTGTCTCTGTATGTGTAGGCCTTCTATCTGATGCTGTCTGGTCAAAAAGAGTATGACATTGTTACAGCCCGTAGCATTGAATGCAAGGGAAGCCAGCGAGCATTTGGTATAAAATAATAGCCAATCAGCTACAGATGTTCTCGTGGTGTTTCAGTACAGTTATCTAAAGCCATCCCTTTAAATTTGGTGTACCTTTTCATTTGAATTTGAATTTTCTCGACACTCAATAAAAGAACGGTTCAGAATATTAGGGATCAATTAAAGAAAGCCATGTTAATATACGCATATTCGTCAAATTTTCAGCACCAATTTGGTAGATTAAAAAATTATCTGATCTTGTATATTATTTAGGGTTATCGAAGTATTCATGAATAAAAAAAAAACTTGAAATATTGGAAGGTGAGAATAGTTTACAATAGGGGTTGAACAATAGTCCTATAAATCTACCCCAATAATCCTCACTAATCATGGAACTGTGATGACAACGGACCAGTTGTGAACTGTGCACCAGGCTCCAGGTTTAAACTGCTACTGTACATATGGTCTGCGTTCCATAATGATTCAAATACGCTACATGTCCCAAACTATTGCACAACTTGTAATACGTTAGCCTAATATGATCCACTATTGCTAGCGATCCTCAGGAACAACCACACGAACGTGACTGAGGTAAGAAAGTTAAACTAACGATGTAATGGAATGATGCAAAATGTAAGGAAACTAACACTAAAGTGACAGTTCTAAATGTATGTGGGTATTACTGACGGTGGCCACTGATAGTGGCTGATATTTAACATGATAGAAATGGTAAAACAATTAAATACAGTGAAATGTCTGGGCATATAATTAAAACATTCTAGAAATCATAAATCAACTCGGTAGCTTTGGCGCTATCCTGTCATTTGCGCATGTCTACAGAAGCCTATAGCTTGAGTCTCCAAATTACATCCCTGCAGGTTATAAGGCCAGCATTTCCTAAACTTCACAGTGGAAAAGGTGATATGTTGATATGCTTCAGTTTACTGTCATATTACTGGTTTCACATTTGTCTCCAGTGATCATAAGGTAAAATATATCTAAAACAATTGTCATTTATATTTACAATCCCCTTATCCAAACGGCTTACTCAATTACCTAGGTTTGGCACTATACTGTCATTTGCAACTCAATATTAGGAAGGTGTTCCTAAGGTTTGGTACATTCGGTGTATGTCGATAACTAGTCCTAAAATTTCAGAAGGATCTTTTTTTATTTTATATTTTTTAATCATGACGTTTTTGACCCCTTGGCGTCAAAATGGCCCCCTTGCTGGTGCTTTTATGGTTAAAGTGTCCTAATTCTATATGTTGAGAGAATGCAGGCTGCTAAATCTCTATTGTCGTTAACCTGGTCATCAAAAGTCTGCTCTAACAAGATCCCAAGGAAATCAATCCGTTAGGGGAGATACCATGTCTGCTGCAGTCAGTTCTGCCTTTGATTACACACTGAGCCCTAGAGAGACACAGACAGTGCAAACACCTTGGGATCAGTCTGTCATCAAAGGCAGAACTGACTGCAGCAGACATGGTCTCTGCAGTCCGAACTAAATGACAGGTGAAGAAGTCTTTGGCTGTTCTGACTTCTGAGATGCAGGGTGCATAGTGTAACTGAGATTCTTTCCCTCTGCAAGTCCTCAACCATCCTCCCAGAAAATTCTCTTCACAGTTTAAAAAGATTAACCAGAGATTGAGTTTTCCACTTATGTAACTGTTCCTCTAGCGCGTGACCATGGCTAACGCTTCGGTTTGAAGGTCAGATAAAACCAATTAAACCCTTGTACTCAAATGCAAATCTGCTTTCGGAGAGAGGGATCGGATTAAACTTGTTTGAGTTCTATCTGGTGAAAGGTAATTCATTATAATTACATTAACAACATCAACAAAAACAGTGCAGGGGAGGCTGCAAATGAGGAGGATGCTGAAATTGACTGTTATTTTCCCCAAATACTAAACTGGGTTTGAATGTTTAAATGCAACAAATTTAAAACCTGGGACAACAACATCCTGAAAACAAGTGTCAGCAGCCTATAGAGCCATTAATGGTGATCTTTCTCCTAATGCTGCATGCTTTATTTCCCTGTGCTTTGGCCATGCATCAACCTGCCTCTCTCTGGCCACCATGCCCAGGCATACGTCTAGCTGGAGGCAGAGAGCAGTTAGTTAAAAGGTAGTAAGTTAACACAATACATCTGCTTTTGCTCTCTATTTTTCTGTATTTTTCCCTCTCTCCCTCATTGCTCTTCAACCCTTTCTCTCCCCATTACCCATTACTTACTTCCCCAATCTCTCTTCCCGCTCTCCTGCCCTTGCTCCCACGTCTCCCTCTCTCTGTGATCACCATGGCGAGCAAACAAGCGTATCTAGCATGGAGAGGTGAGGCAGTATTAATCACTGTGCCGTGCTCTAACAGCTTGATGGGAAAACGATGGGCTGCTCAGCTTTTGAGCCAGGAGTCCTGTTCTACCTCCATTAATTAGCTTATGTGGATTTGGCTCGCTGCAGTTGCCCTGGAGTGGAGTGAAAGTCTATGGATGACAGGCGCATACAGATAGACACAGACACATTGAGAGCCAAGATGGAAGGGATTGCCACCTTGCCTTATTGAACTAGATTGGGATCTATGGAGGACAGAGACATTCAGATAGACACAGACACTTTTAGAGCCAAGATGGAAGGGATTGCCAGCAACCCCTGCTCTATTCTAAGGAAGAAAGAAGAAACTGACACAAGGAGGAGCCAAGATGGAGGGAAACCCTAGTCCTATTCTATTGGAGTCTCTATGATTTACAGAGGCAGCCAGATCAACTTGACTAGGCTCCAGCGGCTGCATGAGTTTCTTCCTCAGTCAATAGTAATGGCTAGTGTTCAGTGAAACCCACGGTGCAGTGAAAAAAGGCCCACACCACTTTAATCACCAATGTCCAGAGCTAGACGGAGCGAAACACATCTCTGCAAATTGGAGCGAGGGAACATTATTTTAGAGAGAGAAAAAACAAGAGAGGAGAGAAAAAGCTATCTGCATGGAAATGATCTGCCCTCCTCTTCTCCTCCTCCTCTCCTCCCCAAGCCTTGCTGTCGATGACTGGTGGTTTGGGTAAATGGACTTTAAATGATCCCATTAGAATACATGGCTTTCCTTGGAGCACGGGACAATGCAGAGAGGGACAGCAGTGAGCTGATGAGTCCCCTGTCGAAATGCTGCACAGCTGGAAGGCTTCACACACATCAAGGGGCTGAGTGCAGAGAGATATGCTTCTAGGACAGGCAGCTATTATTACAGTGTCCTGGACTGTGCCGACAGTAACAACATCATTCTGTAACGGCCTACAGTATTAAAGCCATATCACATGGAAAATCAATAAGGCTAAATGTGACCAATGAGATTAAAGATAAAAGAGAGTCATTTGTTTTGTAGTGTGTTGTGCTGCCATGGGTGGAAATCTTAGATACATGTCAAAGCTCTGATTAAAAGGGAGTGTGAGATAGAGAAACACACACACACATCCTTACTGTGTACCCCTCTCACCCCCACCTCCTCCTTTCACCGTACCTATGGGGGGCTTGTGTACTGCAGTCAGTGAGTCACATTGCTGGGAGCTTTATGATGCATATCTTATTTGGTTTTATTGTGACTGCAACATGGGGAAACCCCACAGTCTCACCCCGCTCCTCTCCTCCCTGTCCCCATCCCCATCCCTGCCTCACTGTACCTCCTCTCCCCCATAGGGTATCCCCTGCCTCGGCGGTGACTGAGTGTGTGTGTCTAAACGTGTTAGACAGAGAGTGAAAAAGGGAGGTGTGTAAGGGAGTACGTATGGGTGTAGTAAGAGACGGTTGTTGTAATGGTGGATTATTGTGAGAGTGTGTGTGTTTGTGTGAGAGATAAATGGGTAGCTCACCCCCTCACTCTAGAAGTGTGTGTACTCCTATCT